TTTTTTTTTTTTTTGCGGGGGGGGGTTGGGGACCGGCGATCAAACTCAGGACCTTGGGTTTGTGAGGCGTGGGGCAGAACCACTAAGCTAAATGCCCGGCCTGCACCAGTTAACTTTATATAAGGACCGTGCACTATCCGATTTTGCCACTGGAGCTTCTGCACCAGTAACTTTAGACAAACAGTTTCAAGCATTATTTTTGTAAAATGTGTTAGTGTAGTACGGTCCCTGACACATACTAATTGATGAATGCTAGATTTCGTTCTATAAGTAAAAATTTGATATTTTTGTTGGCAAGTTAATCTTTTATTAAGAGTAATTTTGCAATCTGGGTAATTGCATGAATGGCTGAATTTGGTTTTTGTGTTTGTAGAATAAATTTGATTTCATTTATTTTAATTTTAAATTTTCTAGGTGAATTTTCAGTAGAATATTTACATCAGAAATAAAAGGATAATTTCTCATAATCAGTCATTTAAAGATTGTTGGCTTCTTTCTTTGTTTGTTTGTTTTTAAGACTTGTTAAAAATAGGATTTGAGCCGAAGATGTAGCTCAGAGGCACCGTGTCTGCCTGGCAATTTCAAGGTCCTGGGTTCTATCCCAGGTATTGAAAAAAAAATGTTTGGGGTTCTAATTTATTTAGACCTTTTATCTTGGGATATTAGAATTCTTTTTATGTGCTAAATATTGAACTTAGTTCTCAAGCACACTGAGCATATGCTCTACCACTGAAGCTCTTGCAGTTGGTTTTTGTTACTTTTTTTTTTTTAACCAAGGATGGAACTTGGGGGCCCTCTAGCAGTTTTTTTGTTTTTGCTTTTTTTGTGAGGATGATTGAACCTAGGGCTTTAGCATTGAGCTACAACTATCCCCTTTTTAAATTTTTAAGTGTCTAGTCATTCAGTGTGTAGGCTCAAACTTGTGACCCTCTTGCCTCCACGTTCTGAATATCTGGGATTATAGGCATGTACTACCATGTCTGACCCCAGCTCTACTCTGGACTCTTTTTTGTTAGACAAAGTCTTGCTTTCTGCTCCAGGCTGGCCTGGAACTTGCAGGGATCCTCTTGCCTCAGCCTCGTGCCTAGCGCTACTCTTAAAAAGAATACTTTTTTATCAATCTGAATCTTTTTTCTTTTGGGGACAGTATTTCACCATGAAGTTTAGGCTGACCTTGAATTTACCCTGTAGATAAGCTTTGAACTCACAGCGATCCTCCTACCAGTCACTGAGTGCTGGGATCATAGATGTGTATCACCATGTCCCCCTTAACCTAAATCAGTAAGTGACACTTAATCTGTGCCTAGTGGTACATGCCTGTCCCAGTTCTTGGGAAGCTAGCATGGGAGGATGACATGTTTCAAGGCCAGCCTAAATTACATAGCAAGACCTGTCTCAGGGGGAAAAAAGTGAAATATAACCTCCAAAACAGTGCCACCTTCAGGGATGTTTTACTTATATAGTACTGTATGAAATCATACACCATTTGGCAATGAGTACTTTATTAAAATAAATGTGTTCTGAGTGATTTAAATTTGGGGTGTGTTTTGGCTCATGATGTGTGTGTGTGTGTGTGTGTTTTAATGTATACATATTTTTAAAAGTGCCTGTTTTAACACTTAGATTTACTCAATAGCGTTTGGGACTAATGTCAGCCAGGACCTGATTTTGCTGGTTGAATGCGTAACTCCTACTTAGTTTTTCAGGCTGTTGCCATCTATCCCTTTAAAACGCAAATACTACTTATGAAACTAAAGTTAAAATGTTAATTTTCTTAGTACTGGAAATTGAACCCAGGATGTTTACACTAAACTACTAGGAAGCCCATTCCTAATTTTTTATTTTGAGATAGGGTCTAAATTGCTCAGGTTTTGCTCAAACTTGTGATCTTCCTGCCTCAGCCTCCCAGAAGATCGGAGCCACCTCACCCAGCTCAGAATTTTCATGTTTCTGCTAAAAATGAAAAGTAGCTAAGGGATCTTAAAGTTTGATGACTGTATCAGTCATAGGCATTGAACAGTTACACTCTTCTCATCAAGACCTATATCATGTAAAGGTACAAATTACCAATGATGAAGGTTATCATTGTATACCTAGAATGTACCAATAAATTTGAGTTGAAAAATTATATTCTTTTTCCAACTCTTACAAGGTTGGACCATGGTGAAGCTTAAGTTTCACTCTACTGAGTTTAGCCATCATTTTTGTCATTTTTTCTAAATTCTGGCTTTTCATAGTTTCTTCCACAAATTTGCTTTCCTCATTTCTGAAGGCACCTTTTCTTTTGACCCTTGTGTCTACTTCTTTACACTATGGAGCACGGTGAGAGTAGAATGATCTTTGAGGACATGGCTGTAGAGTTCTGCCTGGCTTTGAGCAGCCACTTGATCATTTACTAGTTGCGACCTTGGTAAAATGTTCTCATCTATAAAATGGGGGTTGGGCCGGGGATTTAGCTCAGTGGTTCCTCTGAGTGCCTTGCACAAGCACAAGATCCACTGTAAGATACATGGTACCACCCCCAAAAAAGGAGTGGCCTAATTTTTTACTGTTGCACATCCTGTGTAGGTTAGAAATGGGGTGGGGATTTAGCTCAGTGGCACTTCACCTGCCTCTTTAGTGCAAGGTCCTGAGTTTGATCCCTAGTACAAAAAAGAAATGGGGAATTGTGCTGCTGAGGTTCAGCTGTTAGAGCTGTCTCCATCCTGTGAATTGCTAGACCTGTTGACCTAGAGGAATGGTAAAAGCTCCTGCCCAGAAATGTCACAATACCAATAACTTAATGACTAGGACTATTCATGTTGCCTTGACAGTTTCATGGAGGCCCCATTTCTAGAGTTGGGAGTGTCTTGAAAATAAAAACGACAGCCACAGCAATTAGACTTTCTTTGATTCTTGTTTTGATAATGGCAGAATAAAAATATTTTATTGCACTTTTTATAGGTAGAAAGAAACAGAAGCTTGCCAAAGAGAGAGCTGGGCTTTCCAAGGTAATACTTAAGTTTGCTTTTTGTTTGGATTATGTTATAAAAATACTATTTTTAAGAGAGCTGGGGATTTAGCTCAGTGGTTCTGCCACCTGCTCACCAGCGAAGTCCTGAGTTCAATCCCTGGTACCCAAAAAAAAAAAAAAAAAAAAAAATGAAAACCAC